TCTCCCTCCCTCCTTTCCCCTCTCCCAACCCACTGCTTCGCCCTGCTCTCATCCGTCCCCTTGCCCCCATTCGTCCCTTTTCCCCCACTACCGTTGCTGCTTTTCCTTCTCATTTCCCCCTTTCCTGAACCCTTCTTTTTCCTCTCTCACATCCCTTCCCGTTCCCACAATCCCATCCCACCATTCACTCTTCTGATGGCCATCCCTTTCCCTCCTCTCCTGTCCCTCCCCTGTCCTATCCCATTCCCCCTGTCGCTTTCTCCTTCCCCTGTCCTATCCCATTCATGTCCTAGTTCAAGCGTGAGAGATTGACCCAAAGCACTATTCACTATTCAGCCCCCCCCCCCCCCGCTGCTCCCCCCTGCACCCATTCGTCCCCTTGTCCCCTCACCCAACCCTCGCTTTTTCGCACTCCCATCCGTCGTTTTCCCCCTTGTTTGTTCCAGGGCATTCCCCCCTGCCACCATCCCCCATGGCACATCCTCCTATGCCACACCTTCAGTTTCACGCCTCCCCATTCCCGAACTCCCCTTGTCCGTCGGTCCCTTGGCGTCTTGCCCTTCCCTGCAGGCAGCAAAGGCGCGACGGTAGCAAGCTCGCTCTCACTGTCTCTCCACCACCAATCCTCCTCTCCCCCACTCCCGCCGTCCCTCCTTTCCCCCGTTACCATTCAAACCTTCCCCCCGTCCCCGTCCCTCCTTCCATCGGTGTCCGTCCCTCCTTCCCCCACCATCCACCCTTTACCCTACCCTTGTCCTTTCAAGGCATCCCCCGATTCCTAAACCCTTCCTTTCCCTTTCTCCCATCCCTTCCCTTTCCCCCTATTCAGTCCCACCATTCACCCCTCTCCCGGCCATCCCTTTCCCCCCTCTCCTGTCCCTCCCCATTCCCCTCATCCGACCCTTCCCTTTCCACTATGACCCCACGGTGGCAGGCGTGACGACATCCAACCCTCTGCTCCACCGCTCCCAACTCCACTGCTTCCCTTCACCCACCCCGCTGCTTCCCTTCACCCACCCAACTACTTCCCTTCACCCACCCCATCACTTTGTGTCGTCGCGCACCCCACTGTTTCTGCCAACCCTCCATTCAATTTCCCCATCAAACATTTTTCACTTCTTCGGCTGGTGTCCTTCCCTACCCCCCTCCCCCCCTGATATCGGTGGACAGCTGCATCAATAATGGATCAGAGGGGTGTGAAGTCTGGCTCATCTTGGAGATGCCATGTAGGATTTAAAGACACTCATGTTTGCCTGCCATGTGTACATTCGTTGCACCCAAAAAGAAAAGGGAAACAACCACCCCAAACTTTGATCGTTCTGAAATCCTCAAATGTGCCTTTGAGTCGCAGAATATGATATTTGTGTGGTACTCAGCTTATTTTAAATACAAACTCTTTCGTTATGCAATGTAGAGATGACGGCATACTCATGGGTTTCGAATTTCGCGTTGTCGTGTGTGTTCCCCCCTTCCCTCCCCCCACCCCTTCCCCTTCCCCCTCACTTTCGAGGTTGGCGACGTTCGCATCAGTTGTTTCCTTTTTCTCTTCATCGCAACACAATCTACTCTCTCGCTAGCCAATTGGCGACCAGGAAGGAACAAGACAAAAAACTGTTTATCACTGTTCCTAAGATATCTGCACCGCGGCTTTAACGACACACAACCCAACCATCCAAGCTGTCGAGGTTATCATTCTTCATTGTTCTGTAAGTGTGCGTACATATATAGTTGCGTAATTTTCAAAACATCCTGGGCTGATCCGAAACTGACAGCTGTTTACAGAGGGTAATGCTTTGACAGGAGGACGCAAACATAACGTGACGAAAATCGGCCGACGCACTGGTTAGCAACAAGAATGTGTAGGAGTTTTGTGTATCGATCCATACCAGCTGAGCCACTCGCTTCTGGGTGTTTGGTTGATAAATTTGTAAATATGTTAGGGTCCCTCATGAACATGTCAGGGTGTGTGAAGTGAAATTGCCATAGTTTAGGTGCTCAGCTAGCGACACTTCTTCGCCGCGCCATAAATGGCGGAGTGTTCTGTTCAGCTAACAACATCACCGTCAGTCCGCTGCTCAGTTACAGAAAGGCAAAATTGCGCGACACGGCCGATCGCGCGCCCGTCTCAATCCTGTCGACCAAGCTCGCACCGCAGGTAGGGCGACCGAACCCCCTCCAAGTCAATCGACCTACATGCGCTTCCACTTTATCTTCATGCTGCGTTCGTGGATCAATCGGCGTTATAGGTGCCATTCGGTTTTACGGTCAGAAATGCGAGATTCCAGCCTTGGGTTCTGTTTCTTTCGATTCTTTTACAAATTTGCGACGTGTTGCGGCGCTACAGTCCAGTCGCTTGTGCGGATTTTGTTTGGTCACAATTTTATACGGTGTAAAACAAACTAAAATCCCTAAAGAGCCAGGCACCGCTTTCAACGCATCAACCCTAAACACTTGCCAGTTCCCGTGTTTAGGGTTGATCCCTCCCGAATTGCACCAAATTCAAAGGCACCAACCCTAAACACCTTGCTCCCGTGTTTAGGGTTGATGCCTCCCAAATTGCGTCCCTGTCTTTAGGGGTTTATTTTTTGTCAGCCCTTGCTTAGATTCAGTGCTCCGTAATGTACCCGAAAAATCGCGATGGACACGTGGCGAAAAAATGCCCTTAGACATGAAACGTGACACGCTCGCCAGACATTTTCCGGCCATTTTCAGGTGCATGCAACTTAGTATAGGAACTGTATTCAAGTGCATGCCATGTTATTCGGCAGGTGTGTACACTTTACGCAGCTTAAAAACGTGTCATCTTAAAATTACACGCTTCCCAAGATTCGTTTCAAATTAGCACAAACAGTCGAGAATAGATGCGATTTCGGATTACGCAAAGCGAAATCGGAATGGTTGGCTCTCGATTCTGCATTTTCTGACGTCACCAGAAGCAATCATTGCACGTTTGCCCAATTTCAACGCGAATTTCTGCTTTGCCCCAACTCTTCTTGAAAACATTTAAATGCTAGATCAGATGCATTATTGACACAAGCGACGAGCGCTGCGCATGGCAAATCAAAATTTTTTTCTTGGGCGTGCAGAAATTTGGAAAGGGTAATCCCAATTATGAGAAGTCTGCCCGACTGTTTGTAAAGTTTGCCCCTACAAAAAATAATGTTCATACGGTACATGTATATTCTAATTGTTGGGATACCTTAGCTTTCATTACTTACCATTTATAATACTTGTAGCGTATTTATTTATAGCGGTAAAGGAAACTCTATTAGAACTCGGGCAGAATTTTCACGTTTCGGATCATCCTTTCTTAATTTTCTGCACGCCCAAGAAAAAATTGTGGATTTGCCCTGCGCGGCGTCCGTCACCCGCGTCAACAGTACACCTGATCTAGCATTTAAGTTCGTTTAAGAAGAGTTGGGGCAAAGGAGAAATTTGCGTCGAAATTGGGCAAACATGCAATGATTGCTTCATGTGACGTCAGAAAATGTAGCATCGACAACCAACCATTCCCGATTTCGCTTTGCGTAATCCGAAATCGCATCTATTCTCGACTGTTTGTGCTAATAGGAAACGAATCTTAGGAAGCGCATAATTTTACGATAACAATTTTCTAAGATGCCTTAAGTGTACCCACCTGCCGAATAACATGGCATGCACTTGAATACATTTCCTAGACTAAGTTGCATACACCTGAAAATGGCCGAACATTTTCGTGCCAACAGAAACAGACAAAAGTTCCGACACATGCTACGACAATGTAACTACAGTTGCGACATTGTTTTTACGAAAACACGAAAACCACCTGGCACGGCACTGTATGAACAATAACAAACATTACTCCACCTGAAACAGTGGCACCTAGGAGGGCCACCGATTCCCAGACATTCAAATTTATCCTTTAAATCGCGAAACGCATGTAGGTCGATTCATTTGGGAGGGGTTCGGTCGCCCTAACTGCGGTGCGAGCTTGGTCGATGGGATTGAGAGAGGCGCGCGATCAGCCGCGTCGCGCAATTTTGCCGTTACAGAAGTGAAGCAAGGTGCATTGCTCATAAGAAACCGCGTAAACGTGTTACTGTTGTACTCTACTGATGTATCACGATATCCCCCGTAATTCTCGTGGTTTCCAATTTCCGTCCTATTGTGCCCAAAGACAACTGGGTCCAATCAATTCCCTGACCGAGAGCTTGAAATGTGTGAGAAGTTGTCTGTGAAATCCGACTGATAGCACACTTTAGGTTGTATGGGGGCCTCTAAGCGCCTACTAGATATAACACTTTGCAAAATAGTATTAAATGCAGGAAGGGTGGGTTAAATGTTTCAAATATCCAGAAGTTTCAAAATTCTCAACGCTGGCAAACCTGGATGCATGGCAAGGTCCAAGAGGTAGCACTGTTGGACTTGCCACAGACTTGCCACTTGTCCGTGTAAATCGTGGACACATGATGTCAACCTGGCATCACCAAGATCCCTCGTCACGTCCAGCATTACACTAACCCTATTTCATTGATAATGAAATTAAAATTGCCAATACCTGGATCAAGTCTTGATTGAAGAGAAATCAAGCCTTGATTGAAAAGAAATCAAGCATTGGTTGAAGAGAAATCAGCATTTATTGTTTCCTATTTCAATCAATAAAAGCATCTCCTTTACACAATTTAGTGCATCAACAACAAGCTGATGCTAGTTTACTACTCTCCCTTTACAGCAACAAGCAGGCGCTATCGTGCCTCTTTAGAGGCCAAATCACAGCCTGTAGCCTCTCTTAACTCGTGCCATGTGTGGGATCCACCAAGGTGGATCACAGCCTTTCTACACTCCTCCACACGAAGTTGATGGTGGGAGGGCACAGATGAAAGGACGATGATTGGATAAGATGCCGATGAAGAGTGGAAGATGGATGGAGGGAGGTGGTGTGAAGGAGTTCCGTGGGGGATAGAGCGGTGGAGAGAGGAGAATCAGATACGGGGGAGGATGGTGGAGAGGGAGGAGGGGGATCAGACGGGGGGGAGGCAGCGGCGGCAGGTGGGGCATTCCATCTTGATGTCCATCCACCGCTGCAGGCATGCCGTGTGAAACATGTGGTCACAGGGGGTGACCTGCATGGGGGGAGGGTGGGGGGGGGGGTAATGGGAAACATATGCAATGTACACAGAGTGAGGGTGTGTGACATGTCCATCCAGCGCTGCAGGCATGCCGTGTGGAACATGTGGTCACAGGGGTTGACCTGCACAGTGGGAGGGATGGGGGGAGGGGGGGAGGAGGGGGTGATGGGCAATATGCAATGCAGAGAGAGGGACGGCGTGTGGACTGAGGTGTGGAATGGCAGGTGGGGCATTCAATCTTCATGTCCATCCATCGCTGCAGGCATGCCGTGTGGAACATGTGGTCACAGGGGGTGACCTGCACAATGGAATGGTGCATCGGTGCATGCGGAATGGTGAGTATTCTCAGCAGCGACCCAAATGATGTCCATCCAGCGCTGCAGGCAGGCATGCCGTGTGGAACATGTGGTCACAGGGGGTGACCTGTATGGGGGGGGTTGATGTATAACGTCACACAGAGTGGACATATGTGAGATGAAGCAAGCCAAGCCCGCGACACTTCCATTTGACATAATGCAGCACACGCAACAATGCAGGGATGGCAAGGCAGAACTGCAGCTGATTGTGTCTCTTGAGCTTACATAGAACACGGAATGAGACACAATCAGTTTGCCGGCCTGCGGTCATCCGCGTCGCTGCTCTGCCTATAATAAGACAAAAAAAGCCATCCAACTCACCATGCGATCCATGGAGTGGGAGGTGATGGGCACGGGCGTCATGCAGATGACGCAGTCTGCCGGCCCGCTGTCATCCGCGTCGCTGCTCTGCCGCATGAGGCACGACACGCGGCGGAAGTATGAATACTTCTCAGGGAGGAACTGGAAGGATGGGGATGGTGGTGGGGAGCATGGGGGCATGGGGGCATCGGGGCATGGGAGCATGTGAGGGGCGTGGAGTGCATGTGTCATCATGCCTATCATGGCCATCGTCGTCGCTGCGCTGCCGCATGAGGCACGACACGCGGCGGATCTAGGAATACTTCTTAGGGAGGAACTGGTGGGGGGGAAGGGGAACGGGAGGCATGGGAGCATGGCAATATTTGAGCAACGTAAGAATGTGAGGGGCGCGTCATGCTTAGCAACACAACACAACACAAACAGCCTCGTCTACTTGATTCCCTACCATGTAACCTAGCGACTTTACTACATCCAGTCACCCACTCACCTGTTTAGGAATGAACCAGCGAGGTCCCAGGTAGTGCTGCAGCAGCAGCGCCGCCACCTGAGCCCCCATGAACGCAATCAGGGCAGCACACCACGCGGGACTCGGCTCCACACGCACAAGCCACTCATGCCGTCCAAGCAACCAGTTCCAGCCACAACCAACCCACACACCTGTTTGGGAATAGGCCAGCGCACCCCAGCAATCCACCCACCTGTTTCGGGATGAACCACCGCGGTCCCAGGTAGTGCTGCAGCAGCAGCGCCACCACCTGCGCCCCCATGAACGCAATCAGGGCAGCGCACCACGCAGGGCTCGGCTCCACGCGCATAAAGTTTTTCGGGCAGCCGAAAATGTAGAGCGGGATGGCGAGGCGGGTGGCGGACATGCCCAGGATGTAGTGCACGTGGAGGGGCTTGCGCGAGTCCCTTATATAACGGATGTGACTATCTGGGGGATCCAGAAGGAGTAGAAGAGCAGCAGCAGGTAGCGCAGGGCTGTGCTGAAGCGGTAGATGAGGAGAATTCCCCCTAGAAGAAAGCCGTCTGATAGGGGGGGAAACGGGGGAGAAGGGGGACAGGGTGCAAAGGAAAAACCAAGGACAAAAATGAGAATGAGCAGCAGGTAGCGCAGGGCCGTGCTGAAGCGGTAGATGAGGAGAATGCTGCTGAGAGGGCATCTACTCGCAACTCACTGAATGCAATCAGTCAACCACTCATGCCGTAGAGAATCCTTCCCAACACGAGACCCTCAGAATCGCGAGTAGAGGATCGATAGCTCGCGCCGCATCAGGTCCCAGCTCTCAGAGGACTGCGCGGGGCGACAAGCCCTCATGAGGACACGTATTGCAGTCACTCAACCACCTGATACCTTCCTTCCTTCCCGTCGATCAAGCACTCACAGAATCGCGAGTAGAGGATCGATAACTCGCGCCGCATGAGGTCCCAGCTCTCAGATGACTGCGCGGGGCGGCGGGCCTTCCAGATGGCGAGCAGGTAGCGCATCTCGAAGATGGAGAAGATGACAAACTTGAAGAATGCTGCTGTTGCAAAGGCGTTGAATAGCGACTCCGCTCCTGGAGATGGTTGGGAGGGCACGGGCACGCAGCAGGGGGTACGGGGCAGGGGGCACAGGCATGGGGCAGGGGGCAGGAGGGGCATGAGCTGAAAGCCTTCCAGATGGCGAGCAGGTAGCGCATCTCGAATATGGAGAAGATGACGAATTTAAAGAAGGCCGCTGTTGCAAAGGCGTTGAATAAGGACTCCGCTCCTGGAAATGGATGGGAGGGCACGGGCATGCGGCAGGGGGTACAGTGCAGGGGACAGGGGGGGCAGGAGACAGGGGGCAGGAGGGATGGGGCAGGCGGCAGGGGGCATGGGGGGCATGAGCACATTGGGCCTTCCAGATGGCGAGCAGGTAGCGCATCTCGAATATTGAGAAGATGACGAACTTGAAGAAGGCCGCTGTTGCAAAGGCATTGAACAGGGACTGCTCTGCTGGTAAGGGAGAGAGAGGGGGGAAGTGGACTGCGAAGAAAGGAACGGGCATGGGGCAATGAGGTGGCGCATCTCAAATATCCAGAACATGGCGTGGCGACCTTGTAAACTGCTGTCGTAAGCGTGTGACGCTACAGACTGTCCTAGAACAGCTTACCAACAATGATGCCAGCCGTGAGGTGCAGCAGGCAGAGGTACGCATCCATGATGGCCTGCTGGTGATGGCAACGACACTACAAAGACACTGCATGCCCATGGCAATAGGGGAACAGCAGCTTACCAACCACAATGCCGGCTGTGAGGTGCAGCAGGCAGAGGTACGCATCCATGATGGCCTGCTGCCCCACCATCAGCATTGATACCTTGGCTGCTCCCTGTGGCGATGGGGAGTATGGGGGGGGGAAGGGGGGGGTAAGAAGGGGAGAAAGGAGAGAACGAGCAGTTATTTTATGCTTCTCTCTTGCGTCCATGATGACCTGCTGGCCCACCATCAGCATTGATACCTTGGCTGCTCCCTGTGGTGATGGGGGGGATGGGGGGGGGGAGAAGGGGGGGGAAAGAAGGGGGGAAAGGAGAGAACGAGCAGTTACTTCATGCTTCTCCCTTGCGTCCATGATGGCCTGCTGCCCCACCATCAGCATTGATACCTTGGCTGCTCCCTGTGGCGATGGGGGAGAAAGGGCGGGGAGGGGAGGAGGGAGGGGTAAGAGGAGGCAGAAAGGGGGAGGGAGGGGGGGATGCGTGAGAGGGGTGAGGATAGAAGAGAGAGGGGTGCGGATGGAAGGGAGAGGAGTGGCGACGGATGAGAGAGGAGAATAGAATGGTGATGGATAGAAACAGAAAGAACAGCACAGCAGGAACAGCAGAGCAGGGGCATGAGAATAAGGGGCACGAGAATAAGGGGCATGGGAAGAAGGGGCATGGGAAGAAGGGGCATGGGAAGAAGGGGAGAGGTACGCTAAGTGAAAAAAAGGGCATAGGAAGAATGGTAATAGGAACGGGACGCACTGATTGAGTGTTGCTGTGCTCCATTTGGCGAATGATGAAGAGCACTTGCAGGAAGGAGATCTGCACACATGGAAAAGCAGCAGCAGCAGCAGCAGCAGCAGCAGCAGCAGCACAGACGCACATGGAGAGGAGTTTCACACAGATGATCAGGGGAGCAGAAGCAGCAAGGGACTCACGAATGGGACCACGAAAGTGACGTGGACTGCCTTATTATTCTGACACGTATGCGTCCAGACCAATAGTAAACCAAACCACAGTCTACTTGCGACCCTCATAGAAATCGAGGTACCTCAAAACATCAAGTGGCGAGACTCACAAAGGTGACCATGAGGGTATAGTTGACCGCTTTATTATAGTATGCCTCCAGGTCAACAGCAGTGGCGTTGATCCTCAGAGTCGCAAAGCATGGCGCCCCACTCTCATCCGCCTCCCCCTCCTCCTCCCCTCCCCCCATGGCCCCCCTCCGCCCCACCGGATCCTCTGCTGCCACTAGAGCAGCATCCGCCTCCCACGACTCCCCCACCCCGCCCATTCCCCCCCGGCCCCCCTTGCTTTCCGCTAGCAGTTCCGACCCCCCTACCCCGGAGCTCAGCCCTCCCCCTCCCCCGCCCCCCATCCCTAGCCCTAGCCCCACTCCTATCCCTGCCGATCCTGCTGCGTTTGCGGCACCAGCAGCAGCACCACCGGCACCAGCTGCAGCTGCTGAGGCGGCAGCAGCAGCTGGTCTAAAGAAGGAATGGCGAGAGGCAAAGGAGGCTCCAGGGCTGTCCTCTTGCACGCTCTCCACGAATCCCTGCATCTGACTCGGCACGTGCTCCTGCACGCCGTCTGGTGGGAGGGAAGGGAAGGGGGGAGGGAGGAAGGGAGGCGGGAGAGGGAGTGAGGAGGCAGCAGCTGGTATCAGCATGTGGATGGGGAGGTAGAGAATGACTCGCCACAGAGAAGAGTGGGTGGGGACAGGAAGGCAAGGAAACGAGAAGACTGGCGGCGGTTGGCCGAGGGTAGGGAGGGAGGAGGGGATGCTGTGAGTTTGGTGGTTGAGTGCGAGCAAGTGAGTGATGGAAGGGTGCGGGCGAAAGGGAGAGGGCGGGAGGTAGAGGGAGAAAGGGCGACTCACTTCGCCACTCCCACACGGCGGGCGAGACGTGCGTGATCATCCTGATCTTGCAGTTCCGTGCCATCTCCACCACCGCTGCTGCACGGGGGAGAACGCGGAGGAGGGGGGAAGGGGGGGGAAGGGGGCGGGAGAGGGGGAAGAGGAGACGGAAGTGGGCGGGAGAAGGGGAAGAGGAGACGGAAGTGGGCGGGAGAGGGAGGAGGGGAGACGGAGTGAGAGAACAGGCCAGGTCAGCTCGAAAGGCACACGTGGGGCACTTATGAGGGGCGAAGGGAGACGGGCGGGAAGAATGGAAAACAGCGTTAGACAGAAAAGGATAAGACGCGGCTGGGCAGGATGGCACGCATAATGCAAGGCGGAGCGCTATGACGGGAACAAAGAACGGCGAGAAGGGTTGGGATGGGATACGGTGGTACAGCAAGGAGGCAGTAAGCGGAGAGAGAGTGGAGGCGGAGTGGAAGTGGGGGCGGAGGGAGTGGGGGCGGAGAGGGAGTGGGGGCGGAGAGGGCAAGGAGTGGAGAAAGCTTGGAGGCTCCGAGGGTAAAAAGCAGAGAAGGCGTCGGGGCGGAGAGGGCAAGAAGTGGAGAAGGCGTGGGGGCGGAGAGGGCAAGAAGCAGAGAAGGCGTGGAGGCTGTGAGGGCGTGGGGGCGGAGAGAGAGCGGGAGGGCCATACTGTGATCTGGTGACCCCTGGCCTCGTTTACTGGAGTCGTGCAGCTCCTGCAGAGCGACGAGGGAGAGAGGGAGAAAGAGGGAGAGGGGTGGGAGAAGAGAGGGAAAGGGAGAAAGAGGGAGAGCGCGAAAGGGTGAGAGGGAGAAAGAGTGAGAGGAGTGCGACGGAAGCGAGCGAGGTACGGCTGTTGTGAGGCATATACTGTGATCTGAGGGAGGATGGCAGCCTCCCAAAAGGACAACAGGCGTTCCCAATAATAAACAACGGATACCTCCAGACTCACCAGCTGGTAGCCATTGGCGAATCTCGCATCCCCCGACCTGCTGTTATGCCTTTCTCGCGCAATCCGAACTCAACAACCAATACGGTACCTCCAGACCCACTCACCAGCTGGTAGCCGTTGGCGGCGCTCTCTTCGTCCACTTCTGTGGAGTCCGCTCCCGCCGAGCTGCGCGCGCACGGAGAAGAAGGCGGGGGTGGAGGGGGAAAGGGGGGGGGATGGGGGAGGGGGAGAGCGCAAACAGCACGGGAGCAAGGGGGGATGGACGAGAGCTTGTGGACTATTGTGGATCCGCTCCCGCCAAGCTGCGCGCGCATGGAGACGGGCGAGCGCAAAGAGCACGGGCGGGGAGGGGATGCTTCAAGGAGGCGGGAAGAAGGGAAGGAAGGCGGGTCGGAGGGGAAGGGCGAGCGGAAATAGCACGGACTAGGATGGTGCAAGGAGGGTAGGGAAGGGCGGGCGCAGAGGAAGGGGGGGGGGGGGAGGGGGCGAGGATGTATGGACCAAAACGCTACGAGAAGAGGACGCGGACTTTGGACAACGGAAAGGGGACGCTATCCATATCACTGAAAAGAAACCAAGGGAGGTTCGGAACAGAAAGGGAGACTGACCAGAACGTCAAGTTGAGACACCGAGGGACGACGCACGGGAATGGATGACGCACCTGCTGAGAACCATTCTAAGGTGGCCGAAGGGGCGGAGGTAGACCCCTTCGAGCTTCATATGCACGTCACCGTCGCTAATGTACATTCCGTCCCGCAACACAACCTCTCCCTGCGACGCACACGCGGGGATAATGGGAACACCGGACCATCACGCAAACGTACATATCAATGATTGCCGCGTTTAACGATACCACCCTCACCTGCCAATCCGTCACGGCACGCGCCAGCAGCACGATGCGCAGGTCTCAGCGCAGAGAGCGCGGGGGGGGGAAACGGGTGTGCACAATGACAATAATTACAACGTTCGCCGGATTAACAGTAGCTACGTCGCGAGATGATCGGGACGCAGCGACGAAGACACGCGACGAGCCGACCAAGCTCTGCTTTCCAGTCAACGAGTGCCTTCGCATTTGCCTTCGCATCCACTCTGAAGGCTACTCAAAACCTACACAAAGGCCCGACCGGCTCCTTCACCAAGTAACCGCCAGGTTGTCTACCGAATGTAATCTGAACGGTACCCCTGTCATCTGAATCGGCAGGAACTAGCAGGGGGTGCTCACATGGACATAGTGAACCTCGGGACGAGCCGTGCTGCTGGTCTTTAATTGGAAAATAATATTTCCAGAATTCTTCTGTAGGTCCGGGAATCGCGACGACGAGGAGTTCCGCGCGACCTCCCATGTGCCTGTGACACAGCACGGTACACGCTATCCTCGTTAAGGGGCGCCGCGATAAGGAAACCAACCAGCATGATGTGACAGAATGGCAGCTGCGTCTGATGGGAAGAAGCTTCCTGATTCACCTTTGTATGTTCCTGAGATATTCGAGGGAAATATCTTGAGATTCGACAAGTCGGTGGTCTCCACGATTTCCGAGACGAGTGGTCGTAAACTCCACTGGTAGTGACGAGGGGGAGGGAACGGGAGGGAGACGGCGGGGGAAACGGCGTGGGAAACGGCGTAGGAGGCGGCGATGGGTTGGAGAGCGCATGAGGATAAGTGAGGCGGAGCAAAACGGAGAAGAGCGTCCGTCTTGAAGCTTCTAGTGAATGGGGCATGAACGTTGACGGCTCTAACGTATAGTGTAGTCAAAAGTACAGTCAATAGTACCTACTCAGTTAGTCAAGGTAAATTCAGAATACAATCTCAACATTTCAGACAGGATCCAACGTAACAATGGTTCCACGTCTCCGCTGATTTAGGGTACCGTGTAGTCCCACTAAGTAACCCTAAGTGGTGCAACACGTGAAGGAAGCATAACTAAACATGTCTCAGTCGCAGGTAACGGCAAACGCACCTCGTCTTCCCAAAGGGGGAGTTCGGAATCTAGTAGCTTCTCTCGGATTGGTCGAGAGGCGAGTTGTCTACATGGATACGATAGTAGCACTGCGAAACCTATCAACCAGTGCCATCTAGGACGAGGTTCCCGCCTCGTCATAATGCCTAACCAGCAGATGGTCTAACAGGAGAGTCTTATTCTGCAGTCCATCCAACAGATTCACACAAACCCTAACTTCCACTGGAGACGGTACTAAAGCGTATTATTCGACAACCGGTTCACGAAGAATTACTACAAACAAACGATTTGGAAGAAGACGACACATGCGAAGTGGTCGCCATCTAGGTCGGAACTGAGCTAAACTGGCGAGGAGAATAAAGACGAGTGCGGTCAGTCACGAGACGCGAGGAGCGGGGAGGGAAGTCTGAACGAGCATTGAAGAAGCACAGGTGACGAAAGCAGGGAGGAGAACGCGGGATGCCGAAAGCGGAAGGCAGAATCGAGGAAGGAAGAAGGATGTCATGGTAGATTGGTGTTGACTCCTCCACACCCACACACCACCGTACATCAAGACCTCAAAACATACCAAACCACACTAAACCGTTGCATCACCAACGCCAGCACCAAGCCTGAACAGTTTCAACCAGAATTCCAGGTGAGTTTTCCAGACGTGTCAAACAAGCCCCTCCGAGTTGGATCTGCTCCCGGCCCCACTGGTTTGCTGCGCTTGTTTCTCCATCCGCCCACCTCGCCTTTTCCGCCTTCCGCCTTTCCCTGCAGCGTCCGCGCAGGAACCAAGGCACGAGCCTTTGGTTTGGGAGCCAGGCCAGCCCAGGATTGACGGCGGCGGAGAACAGAAGAGACTAGGTGATGGCGGGGCTCAACCCGGGGCGCTGGCGAGGTACGGAAGGGCTGGAAAACAGGTTGGTGGTGGCTCGGCGGAATTGGTGGGGAGGGAGGGAGGGGAAACTGGGCTAGGCACAGCGATATTCCAAGCAGCACGCGTTGGTCTCGAATTGAACTCCCCTAGCCAGTTTTGGCGGAGCGAGCGAGGTGTGGACCAAGCCTGTCGGTTTCCCGTCGGTCTAAATATTTGGGCGCAATTTCTTCCGCCGAAAGCGGAATGGTTCTGATCTTGTGGGAGGACGGGGATTTGCAGGGAGGACCCGAACGGTGGCTAGCGCAACCTCTCGAATGCTCGCGCCACGCCGGAGAGACACTGGGCAAGCGCAGATTGATATCGAGGCGGCTGCCCAGAGCACGGAAGCAAAGGGGCGATGGTGGGGCGGCGGAGGGGCTGAGCCTGGAAGCGGTTCGGGAGTGGAAACTGTGGCTGATGACTGGTGAACTAGTTTCCTAGTGCGACGTCTCCAAGACGGTTGAGCTTCGCCTCGGCGTTGCAAAAATGCAGTTTGCGACAACCTGTTCCAACAGTGCGACGGGTCGTGCGACTAGCATTTCCGCAACCCTGCGCGTACTAGTCATATGGTTCTAGACGGGCGACAACTTCGGTTGGTGGTGAACGACCCTCCAGTAATTCACAAGCACCGCCTGCCCGTCCATGCCTTGGCGAGTAAATGCAAATCCGATATCACTCGTACGCAAACAGAATTCGCCAGTAATGGGTGTATTCTCATATGGTATATCACAACAAGCTGGCACAAAAAAGAATTGTGGTTGTGCTGTTTTGATAGTGTGTGGAGTTCATGAAGAGAGAAGATGTGACAACATGAACGGACAATAAAATGAATGCCTAGTGAGAATGAAGCAAAAAATAGCCAGGTAGGGACATATATGCTTATGAGACTGGGATGGGAAACTTTAACAAGGTAAAATAGTGTGTCTGCACTAGGCTACAAATGATTCGCGCATCATTTTTTGGCATGACATAAATCTTCACCCTTATGAAATCAGTGTACCTTGCTATTTCGATGAGGTACGAAATAACAGTTTGGCAATGGAATGTCAGAATATATTTTTGTATAACTGCATGTAGTTCTAGCTGTAGTGTAGTTCTATTGCTGTCCTGTTAGGTGGTGCACCCTTTGGCTTGCTATAACTTGTAACTCTTCTCATAGTGAACACACATTCTTGTTTCTCCCTTGGTCAACACCCTCGACCTCACCCTTGCTACTCTCGTTCTAACTAAACCCTAGGCTACTAAGCCTACTAAGTTAAGAACCTATTTCAACATGTTATCAGAGTGGTTCTAATCTTAGGACCTAATCTCAATGGGCCCACCAAACCCGCCATCTCTGATGGCGGCATATTTTTCTGCTGCCGGCGTCGAGCTCGCCTCCCTGCACGGTTCACGGGCGTTGCGGATCGCGCAGCGCCGAACGCGGCCGCCAGCGCCGAACTCGCCCGCCAGCGCCAACGCCAGCGCCGAACGCGGCAGCAAGCGCCGATGCCAGCGCCGAACACGGCTGCCAGCGCCGACGCCAGCGCCAAACGCGGCCGCCAGCGCCGACGCCAGCGCCGACCGCGGCCGCCAGCGCCCAACGCCGACGCGTACGCCAGCGCCAGGCGCCAGCGATGTGCGCCAGCGCGACCTGCTGCCCCCCCGTCGCCCCTGCTCCCCGTCGCCCCTCCCCGTTTCGTCGCCCTCCCGTGGCGTCCCTCGCATGGTCTCTGCCGTGCGTGTGGTGGTGGGGTGGTGCCCGAGAGTAGGGGAGGCGGGGGTGGGTGACTCGGCCTCCCCGCTCTCCTCTCTGTCCCTGCAGCGGCTGGTGCTGAAGGGGAGTGGGGGGGAGGGGGTGGTTGACGCCACTCTGCTGCTACGCCACGCTGCCGCCCGCCTTCTCCCTCTCCCTGCTACTCGTGCAGCCGAGGAGGGGGTGGAGGGAGGGTGTTGGGGTGGCGGGTGTGACAAACCAGCGGCAGTCCCTCCTCCTCTCTCTCTTCCTGCCGCCCCTCCTGGGGTGGGGGGCAAGGGGAGGGGGAGGGTGAGGGGGTGGCGGGGGTGACCAGCATGCGCCAGCCCACCTCGTCTCTCTTCCTGCCGCCCCTCCTGGGGTGGGGGGGAGGAGGGGGGAGGGTGAGGGGGTGGCGTTGGAGGACGGGTGGGGGGGAAGGCGTGAGGTTCCAGGGGGCGGTTGACAAGGTTGGTGAGGTTGAGGGGGGTGGCTGAAAGAGGGTGTGGACTTGGGGGTTCGTAAGAGGGGCTCGCCGCGCTTGGCTCCCCCCACCTCCTCTCCTCCCTCTCTCACCCTACCCCCCTTTGTAAAAAGGGGGTTCGTAAGAGGGGCTCGCCGCGCTTGGCTCCCCCCACCTCCTCTCCTCATCCCTCTCTCACCCAACCCCCCTTTGTAAAACGGGGGTTCGTAAGAGGGGCTCGCCGCGTGGCTCCCCCACCTCCTCTCCTCATCCCTCTCCTCTCTCTCTCTCTCTCTCTCTCTCTCTCTCTCTCTCTCTCTCTCTCTCTCTCTCTCTCTCTCTCTCTCTCTCTCTCGCCTCCTCCTCCTCAATTACCTCCTTACCGTCGTCCACTGCGCGTGGTGTACCCCTTCAGGGGGCGTTAACTTCACATTGCTATTCCTGCATGCAGTTAGGGGGTGTGTCAGAATATATTTTTGTATAACTGCATGTAGTTCTAGCTGTAGTGTAGTTCTATTGCTGTCCTGTTAGGTGGTGCACCCTTTGGCTTGCTATAACTTGTAACTCTTCTCATAGTGAACACACATTCTTGTTTCTCCCTTGGTCAACACCCTCGACCTCACCCTTGCTACTCTCGTTCTAACTAAACCCTAGGCTACTAAGCCTACTAAGTTAAGAACCTATTTCAACATGGAATGTCTGAATGGGACAAAAGGGTATCAGGCAGATTCTGACTTCCAAAAGGCCGAACCGGCTCTTTCAAGGGTTCAGGTTGTACAATGCATGATGAAATACAACCGCGGTTAAGATGGGAAATTCCTTACAGCGGAATGAATGACAAGGAAGATGGGTGGTACAAGTACTAACCCCAGGGCCCACGATATCAGGGTAAAACATCCTGATTACCCTGATTTCAGGATGTTTTTATGCGTTTGCCCTGTAATTTCATGATGATGTTGGATTTTACACTGTAACTTCAAGATAATGTCGAACGTTTTGCCTGAAATTTCAGGATGGCCGTGATATTTTGCCCTGAAGCGTCAGGATGAAAGTGAGGAACGCCCTGACGCGAATAAATGAGGGGGGGGGGAGGGGGCGGGGGAGAAGGGAGGGCCTATGCTCGTTTCCCCCAGGAATCTGGTCCTGCCTTGGCACGAACGATCCTTTGCCACGTTGCACATTTATTTATCGCATGCGGTGTTCTCTCGTTGGCACGCTGCATTACTAATCAGGGTCTTGCGATTTGTTTGCCCTGAGATATCAGAATAAAGCCTACAGGTACCCTGAAACTTCAGGATGGCCATATAGTTTTGCCCTGAAAAGTCAGGGCATTTTTTTGTATTTTCAAGAGTTGCCCTGAAGCCTCAGGACGCCTGGAATCCTAGCACAGGCCCTGACTAACCCTAAATGCGTTATACCCCTCACTATGTGCCCAACTATAGACTAGCATGCATATTTGTAGTTTGACACACCCCTATAGGCTAAGTGGGGGACAATAAGCAGGAGCAAGAAATACAAATGGTCACAACACCAGTCAAGAGAAACAACAAGACAAAACTCAGGGTGGATCACACAATCACCACAGAGTCTGAGCACAAACAAGCGGCCACAAGACCAGTTCAAGGATTCACAAGTATATATAAATGCAAGGACAAACGGAGCAAAATACAAGAGGCAAGACTACAGCAACTGCAGGCCTGCCTCAATAACAGACAGAACTTGTGGTGGTCACCAGGCGGAAGGGCCTTGGTGAACATGTCTGCAGTGTTGGCCGCTGAGGCCACGAAGTCCAAGCGTGCCTGGCCGTGTCGCTGCAACTCTCGCAGGAGAAAGTACCTGACGTCGATGTGCTTCACTCTGCTTTCCAGTTGAGGCTCTCGACACAAGATGATCATGGCCTTGTTACCAGCAAACAAGGTCGGTGCAGAGCTCAGCGGCTCACCGAGGTCGGTGAGCAAGAACCAGTGAAGCTCCTGCACAGCCATGGCACTGGCGTAGATCTCTGCCTCTGCACTAGACTGCGCCACAGACGACGACCGTGTAGACCTCTACGACGCAGCTCTAGCGCCCAAGTTGAAGCAGTAATCATGAGTAGACCTCTGTGTTTGCATGTCGTCGGCGTAGGAAGAGTCGCAGTGACCGGTCAGCACAACCGACCGTGTCCCTCCAAGCACAAGCCCTATGCCCGATGTAGCCGCCAGGTACTTCGTCAACCTCACAGCAGCCGTCCAATGAACAGCAAGGTATCTCCCAGTCGCAACAAAGCGAGACGGGACGTTGAGGGGGAAAGCGAGTTCCGGACGAGTACAAGTCATCTAATACATGAGGCAGCCCACAAGCTCTGTGTAGGGACCATTGGACTCAAAGGGCTCGTCGGGATAAGGGCCGGTGAGTCTGTAGTCGACGGCAAGAGGAGTGGGCTGTGTGGTGGAGAACTGAAACCCGAACCGCAGAAAGGCCTGCTGCACCATATGTGACTGAGAGAGTGTAATGGTGCGAGCGGATCTATCCCTGGTGATATGCAAGCCAAGGTAGCGGTGCAGCTCACCTAGGGTCAGTGTACGTGTGCCTCTTCTGCAGCTCGGATTTCACCTCAGCCAGAGCGATCCTGTCTAGTGTAGCGAAGATCAGGTCGTCGACGTAGACAAGAACGAAGAAGGGACTTGAACCAGTGTGAGCAAACAGCGACGTTACGGCGGACGAAGGACGAGACCGGAGGTCAGCAAGAGAGAAGTGTAGCATGTCGTGCCACTCACGGGGCGCCTGGCGGAGACCGTAGACTGGTCGCCTCAGGCTCTACTGGGTCCCAGGTGGGAAAGTGCCAGAGAAGCCTGGAGGACGGCGCGGCCAGATCTCCTTGTGTAGGCGGCCCTGAAGAAAGGCTGTGGAGAAGTCGAGGGAGTGCAACTCGTAGTCTCGCAGTGCTGCAACATGAAGCAACACCCGAAAAGTAGTCATCTTCGGGGTCGGGGCGAAGGTCTGGAAGAAGTCAACTCCCTCATATTGATTGAAACCTCTAGCCGCGTAGCGCGCCTTGAAGACAGGCGGTGATCCTAGCGGCCGCTTCACCTTGAAGATCCACATGCTATCGACTACGTTCGCTCCAGGCAAGGAACTGCGTCGACGTAAGTGCCTGTGGATATTCAAGACGCCATCTCCGAGTCCATGGCCGCTATCCACTGAGAGGCCCACTCCCCTGACACTGCCTTATGGTACGTGCGATGATTTGGTATGTCGGGGTCTCCCTCAGGGGCTAGCAGTATGGCACAGAGATGGGGAGAAGCGATTGCGAAGAACTCCAGCTCAAACTGCCTGTCCTCTAGGACGTCACAGCCAAGGGCAGACTCACCCCCGGCGGACAGAGGACGGGTAGGAGGAGAAGCCGCCACGCGGGTGGCGTAGTCAAGGCGGCGGGTGGCGGCAAAGTCAGCGAAAACGGCAGTAAGAGCCGAGACAGACGACGGAGAGGCACAAGGGACCGTAACAAGAGAGGCGAGAAGTCGTGAGAGAACAGGACGAGACGTTCGGTAGTAGTCAGTGATAGGGTGAGAGGAGAAGGCTCTAAGAGACGACTCAGGAGGTGACGGGAAAACAGACTTAGGCGGAGAACGACGAGGACTAGAAACGAAGCGAGACAGTGAAGAGGTCGTCAAAGGGAGACGAGGGACGAGCAGGCGGGGGACAATGAACGGTCCAGTCGTGCGGGACAACAGGAGGAGACGAATGTGACTCAAAGGGCTCGTCGGGAAAAGGGCCAGTGAGTCTGTGGTCAACGGCAAGAGGAGTGGGCTGTGTGGTGGAGAACTGAAACCCGAACCGCCGAAGGACCTGCTCCACCATGTGTGACTGAGTCAGTGTGATGGTGCGAGCGGCTCTGTCCCTGGTGATCTGCAGGCCAAGGTAGCGCTGCAGTTCACCTAGGTCAGTGCACTTGTGTCTCTTCTGCAGTTCGGACTTCACCTGAGCCAGAGCTGCCCTGTCTGCTGTAGCAAAGACCAAGTCGTCGACGTAGACAAGGATGAAGAAAGGAGTGGAACCAGCTCGAACAAACAACGACGGGTCGGCGGACGACGGACTAAACCCAAGGTCACGAAGCGTGGAGCGAAGAGTGTCGTGCCACTCATGGGGCGTCTGGCGGAGACCGTAGACTGGCCGCCTCAGGCTCCACTGGGTCCCAGGCGGGAAGGTGTCAGTGAAGCCAGGAGGGCGGCGCAGCCAGATCTCCTCGTGTAGTCGGCCCTGGAGAAACGCAGTGGAGAAGTCAAGGGAGTGCAGCTCGTAGTCTCGCTGTGCTGCTACGTGCAGTAACACCCGAAGAGTAGTCATCTTCGGGGTCGGGGCGAAGGTCTGGAAGAAGTCAACTCCCTCACGCTGACTGAAACCCCTAGCCACGTAGCGCGCCTTGAACACAGGCGGTGAACCAGGCGGCCGCTTCACCTTGAAGAGCCACATGCCATCGACTACGTTCGCCCTGGGAGGGGGAACTGGGTCGACGTAGGTGCCTGTGGATCTCCAAGAGGCTAACTCCGA